AACAAGATTCTCCTTACGTGTCTTTACTCCCCATGTCAGAATAAAGTGATCTTGTTAACCCCGCAGGATGATGGCCATTGATCCTGGGTATCAGTGAGGGTTATATTACGGTATTTTAAGACTCTTTTAGGAAATGTTATATTCCACAGGACATTGATTGATCCCTGTGTGTAAGACAATCCTGAATATTCGTGTTTTCATCGCACATACACCATGCTCTAAAGACCACTTGGGGGAATGTGTCGTAGTCTTGTAAGTCCCACCATGACTTTCTTTACACCCTTTCCAGGTTCTGTAACCTCGAGCCATTTCTCTTGTTCATTTTCCTGCAGCTTCATAGGCTCTTTTTTCAACTTCGTGCTTTAACATATGCCTGGAGGGTTCTTAAGTTCTTCCCTGTCCGTCTGTCATGCTGGACCTTAGGCTCAGCCTGGGCAGAGGTCACTTAGGTCAGTAATCTTAGTTCGCAACATGGTATCTGCTTGTGGAGTGCTGCCATGTGTTACCTTTCTAAAACTGAAAAATTCTTAATCAGAATGGTACTGGATTGAAAAGTGCTACAAGTCTATCTTTTCAACCTATTTTGACTCTTGCAAAAAGAATTGTAGCCTATTTTGGCTACAACCAGGATAGCCTGGTTTTGCCTGTCCTTCTCTCTCTCTCTCTCTCTCTCTCTCTCTCTCTCTCTTTTTCTTTTTTTGGCAGGACTAGGGTTAGAACTCAGGGCTTTGTGCTAGCAAATCAGGCATTCTACCACTTGGGTCACACTGCTGTTCCATTTTATTCTGATATTTGGGAGAAGTGGTCTCTCAAATTACTTGCCTGGGCTGGCCTTGAACCACAATCCTCCCAATCTCAACTTCCCAAATAGGATTATAGGTGCCCAGCCTGGCTTTGCCTTTTATCATCTCTATGACTGTAGGCAAATTAATATTATGCTAATAGGATTTAATTAGATTTATAATTCAGGTGACCTCCAACTCTACATTTTTTTGAATTCACATCCCCTTTTATTGATCATTAAAATGTAATCATTTGATTTTGATTAAGGTAATAATAAGTTATTTTAGATTTAGATTTTGCTGTGTGGTACTTACAGATTAAAAAATGAAAAGCAGGTTGTACTGCGTTTATGTGTGTATATATTACCAACTTTTTAATTTCTTTTACTCTTAGAGTTTATGGGTGCTCTGTACATTTTTTTACAGCATAAAACTTTGGAAATTTGGTAACTAATTTATATATCCCATTATAAATTAGAGACTATTAGAATGCAGCGAAGATGTTTCTAAATTTTGTAGTTCTTAGTTGTATTTGGAAGGTATTACCTTTTAGTAGACGTTAGGAAAATGAGCACACCTCTTGATGAATACCTGGAATTTTAGTAAACAGAGTTTTAGAAAGTACTACTGAGCCTACAAAGTATATGTCATATATTTTTTTCCTTTGATCCTTGGATTGCCTGATAAATGTGATGGGTACAAATACTATTCTAGTTTTACAAAGGAAGAAACCAGAGCTCTTAAGAAGTTAATACTGTGCTGTGGTTCTAGCTAGTGCTATGTAAGGTTGAGGTGGACATCAGAACATAGGCTTGCAATTTCAAGTTCCATTACTCTGTGAACATACTAAACTATATTGTCCTTTAAATATAGAAATTTCATCAAAGTTATAAACTACAAAAAGCATGTATCTGAATTTTCTAATCTTTACTATAATATTGATTATATACATTATATATTATACCCATAATATTTTTTCTTATAGTGGATGATGACCTTAGTGGGTTTTGTTCATTGGCTTTAAGATACCATCAACAGCATACAATATTTGAGTTTTATGATATTCTAGTGGCTTACAGTTTTCATTGCCAGAATGCTTAGATGTGATCATTTGTATTAGGTTTCATATTCAAAATATTTTTATTTTCCAGATTAATAGTAAAGGCATTCATAATATTTGTTTTAAATCTTAGCAGTTAACCATGTTTGTATTAATTCTTCTTTCCTTTTTGTATTTTTTCTAGTGTTAGGGATTGAACGCAAAGCCTTGGGCTTTCTAAGCAAGTGCCATATAATTGAGCTACATGTCCACCTCAAGTTCATATTTTCAGTTTTTATATTTATAATTATCTGTAGTTGTTTTGCCAATACCTAATTTTTAAAAAGCTACATGAATTGAAAAGGAAATACGTTTTTTTTTTAAACTGTTTTGTATTTTTTGTACAAGTTACTTCTAAAAACTTTCCTTACACTTTTATGACGTATATTCAAGCCTGATTGCAAGCCTGGGGAAATTACATGAAATACTTCCCACCTGATTGAAGTGGTTACCACAGTTCAGAGGAGCTTTCCACCAGCTGAGAAAAAGTACTTACACATTTTTAGTTGTAAATAAGTCATTATTTCAGATATATTAAACTGTTCTGGACAGTTTGAAAGTCTGGTTTTTAGATTTTTATTTTAAATAATAAAATGTAGACCTCTATGATAAACTTCTACCCTAGCTACTATGTTTTATACCCTGTAGGAGTTTGGTAATCGGGAACAATTTGTATTTTCATACTGCTTGATGTATTTAACACATTCAAGCTCCAATGTCTCAAAATTTAGTCTCTTACTCTTTGACCATCGTAATTTGGTTTTAAGCCAGAATTGCTTTAAGTGCAAATCACAAATATTTTGGCTTCCTTTGAGCATTTTTTGTATTAGTGTCTTCAATAGAATTCTGTTCTCATTATTGAAATCCATTTTGATTATATAATGAAAAATTCTTGTTGTATAAGCAAAAGTTGTGAATTCATGGGTTAAAGTTTTTCCATAAGATTAGGTAGTAAAATGTAGGAAAGAATTGTAGTGCTATTCTTAAGATGAGGCATAACAAGATTTCAGTTAAAATTGTCAGCAATCACTATATGAATATAAAGTTGCTCAGTGTGACATTTGTTCATATATTTCACCTCTTGTGTGAGGGAGTTGAGTAATGTAGTGTAGATTTGATTGTCATTTGCCAGTTGGAAAGAATCCAGAAGCAAGGAGGCATTTGTACATGTGCAGATGTTGGCAGAGTTCCCTTTTCTCCTGTTGTCAAAGAGCAATTTTATTTTCACAAAGATATGTTTGTATCTGTTGTACAATATGGCATGTGAGTGATAAACCAGTAGTACATGGAGGAGTTCTTGTTTCACTTTTTTGCATGAAAAAGTATATAATTTCACGTTTACTTGTTTTTAGTGTTTTCATTTTTATATCAGGGACTTTATACATGAGTACTTACAGGAAATAATTGAATCTTTTGTAATTGTCTAGCTGAAATGTCAAGGTCATGAGATATTTTAAATTAGGAAAAGTTGATAATAGTGTGTGGGTTAGCAAACAGTTTTTGTGCTACACGTTAGACATGAGCAATATGTCATTTTTCTCAATCCCCAAAAGAAATGTAAATTCTGTTAAGAGATTAAAAAAATGACTACCTCTAATTTCTAAAGAATCAGCAGATACTGTCTCTGAGCTAGAAATGCATTTACTATATTTAAAGATTCATCTAAAATTTTTGTGTAATTAGTATTTTATCACAAAATTTCAGATGTTAAAATTGAAAAGAAACAAGTTATGTGTACTGAGAACAGTTATGGTTGTCATGCACTGATAGGACACAAAGGGAGCACAAATGAGAAGTGGTAATTATGGATGAAGTTTAGCTCTAAAAATATTTTATTGTTTTATAATTGATAAGAATTTTAATGTAAAGATACTGTGTTTAGTCAAAGCTTAGGGTAAACTGCTGTTGCCTGTTTTCTTAAGAGATATAAGAGCCTTCTAACAAGAGCTGTTAAAATGTATGAGGATCACGCAGTTTTTACTGATGGAAGTAGGTTACATTCATACTGTTTTGTGCTGTCCTCCCAGTCCACCTTTATTCCTCTTCAGTGATTGTATAAATGTCTTCTCATTGTTTTTTTTTTTCCAACTTGAAAGTTACTTGGCTTCAGGAGTGGCTCCTAAACTACATTTCTGGTCTTGTGATCTTATTTATGAAGTTGTTTAAAATATCACTTTTCATCATTTTTTATCAACTCATTTTGTAGCTACACATTTTAGCAGTAGAAAGTACCTTAAATAAAACACATCATTTTACTGAAGTTGAAGATGACTTGTTTGTGGTCATAGAAGATTTTTTTTTGATTTATGGTGATAATCTTCCCAGTAGATAAAGCACATTAGAAACCCTCCCTAAAGGTGAGAAGAATAAGTAATTTTGAGGTTGGATCAAGGTGGAAGGAAAAGAAAACTAACTCAAGAACAAAGGTGCTTAGAGTTGAGGTTGCATTGATGGGGATCAGTTTGTTCACTTCCAGCTTCTGCATGTAGGTTAAAAGCCCCAAATCCTTCCCTGACTTCTGTTCTTGGCTGCTTGTAGACCAGGGAAGGCCCCTACTGAATGTTCGTTAGGATCTGCCACATGTTTTACTAACTAACCCTTAGCAAATTCATAATCATTTGATTGGTGTGTGTCTGGTCTTCTAAAATAAAACTCTGTGGCTTTTATTTTAAACAAACTGTTTAAGTGGAGCATATAGCCACAGCACCTGGTGCCTGGTAAATAATGCTGGTTAATAGACCTGCAGACTGTCAATTAAAAGAAAGAATTGATTGCTTGACTTACATGAGTCAAGAAGATACCAGAAAGCATAAATATTTTTAGATTGTTAATAAAAACTATATCTCATACTTTTTATTGATCCTTTTGGTTCTGAGATTTTGGAAAGCAAGACTTGTAAAAATCTTATTTTAGCTTTAAAATATAAAACTGTTTACATTTTTCAGGTTCATAGTAATGAAATAACCTAGGAACAAAATGAAGTTGATTTCTATGGGCTGCTGGCTATATCAAGGAAATCTAAACCCATTCCTAGTAGCAAACTCTACAAAGAGCATCTGGGGAGAGACCAGGAGAGCTTCATCAGAATCTCTTAACATATTCAAATACTTTTTTTGTAGAGTTTTCCATCTGATGAAGGTTGGCCATTTGCAAAATATCTTGGAGCTTGTGGAAGAACGGTGGCTGTGAATTATGTCGGAGAAGAACTGTGGAGCTACTTCAATGCACCGTGGGAGAGACGAGTTGACCTAGCTTGGCAGTTAATGGAAATAGCAGAGCAGCTCACAAACAATGACTTTGAATTTGCACTCTACCTCCTGGACGTCAGCTTTGACAACTTTGCAGTTGGTCCTCGAGATGGGAAGGTAATCATCGTGGATGCTGAAAATGTTTTAGTTGCTGACAAAAGATTAATTAGACAAAGTAAGTATATAACTTCTAGGTTTATATTTTTGTATACTCTATTTCAGAACAGTATTTCTTTGTTGTGTAAATGAAGGTAAATACACTTTGCGTGTGTATGTGTACATGACTTGTGAGTACTGGGTGCTGTATGCTGTGGTTTAGGAGCCTAATGCAGAATTAAGTTCATGTTACTGTGAACTGTCAGAGATTCAGTACTGCTTTCTTGGAGGCCTCGTGTCTCTGGAGGGTCTCTTACTATGTTCCCTACAGTGATGGTTGCTTTGCTTTTAACCATTGGGATTATTCCTAACTGCAGATCTAACTTTGGTTTGACATTCTCTTTATTACGTCACATCCCAAACTCTGCTCTCTATTTATTGGTGACCTCAATACAGGTCAGGTAAACAGTATCTGAAGTGTTTTGAAAGTGAAATGCCATAGCAGTTTTAAAGTGTCCAGGATAAAACTTATATTCTAGAACCATTTCAATTAGAAAGAAACCACAGAGGGAAGCCAGGCACAGTGGTGCAGCCTGTAATCCCAGCACTCCTGAGGCTGAGGCAGTTCAAGGCCAGCCTCGGCTACATATGGAATTGCAGGACAGCCCAGGTTATATATAACAAGATTCCGTCTCCAAAACAAAACAACAACAAAAAAGAGTTTTTGCTCCATGGTGAGGGTCTTTAATCCATCTCCTCCCCTGAAATAAGGGATGTAAGAATCTTTGGACAACGGGAGTTGCAAATTTCTGGCAGCTGGGGAATGCAGCTGATGTGACAGTAACATACTAGGTTGATGCTTGCTTTTTCATGATCGTAGCACCAGTTAAATACTGGATTTTCCTTACTACCTCGTTCTGATCTGCACTCCCCAAACTCCTTTCTGATGGTTTCTCAACTTGGGCTGCACTGGCCATACAGGTCCTCCCACAGGGAGTGATGCTCTGCTGGGATCTTTCACTCCTTCCTCTTCCTCTGCTGCGTTTGCCAACGTTGCAGCAGCAAGACACCATGCTTTTCTTTTTTAAATTTCTACAATTGAGTGCTCTTTAGTGTATTCACTGAGATGTATAATTTGCCCAAACTTTTAAAATTTCCATTCTAGTGTTTGTAAAAATATTTAGTTTCATTTTATTCAGCTATATCTGGGATAAATTTGTTTGTTTGTTTTGGCAGTACCAGGGTTTGAACTCAGGGCCTTGCACTTGCTAGGCAGGTGCTCTACCACTTCAGCCCTTAATTGTTTGCCGTATAATAATTCCCAACTAACTCTATAGCTTCCACACCTTTGAATTTTGTAAGGTAAGCATTGCTCCAGTGCTGCTGTAATCTGGGAAGGGCTCACTCACTGGCCACTTTGCAAAGGCTCTATTCATCCACTCGCCCTCTTCCTTCCCACTTTGAAATAAATGTTCATTATTTTTATCTTCACAAGGAAATTAAAGTTTTGCCATGGCAACTCCCTCAGTGTCTTCCCCTTTATCATCCAAATGCACATAAAGCAGCACACATGGAATCTCCTTTTTAGACAGTGTGTCATTCTTTTGGCACTTGCTGTCTCAGTTATATTCAGCTTTCCACTCAATGTCCAGCTTCTTTTACCTCCATCAGCAAGCACATATAACAGCACCTCCTGTTTCTCCTTGCTTTTCAACTGTTTAAAAGTATTGCTGGCTCAAAAAGAGAAACATCGCATGCTTTCTCTCATATGTGGAATCTAGATCTTAAAAGAGATGTGAATTGTGTAAAAGGGGCACCGTTTGGGGGTTGCAGTAGGAGAGGGTGAGGGGGTGAATATGATTTAGTGAAAATAATGTATCACTTTAAACTTGTAAAAGATAATGGGGCAGATAAGAGTAACAGAGCGAGTTTGATCAAATTCATTATATGCGTGGATGGAAATACCTTGAGTCCTCTTTGTGCAGTTAACACACGCTAATAAAAAAATGAAGATATTTAATGTAACTCTGGGAGCTGCAATGGTATAATGGTCCAGTCCTTCCCCGTGCAGCTTTATGTCACATTCCAAAAAGCTGATTTGCTAAAGAAATTCTTATCTTTTTTTTTTAATTTCATTTTTTTAAATTTTATTATTCATATGTGTATACAGGCTTGGGCATTTCTCCCCCCTGCCCCCACCCCCTCCCTTACCACCCACTCCGCCCCCTCCCTCTCCCCCCCACCCCCTCAATACCGGGCAGAAACTATTTTGCCCTTATTTCTAATTTTTGTTGTTTATCTTTAAAACAATATTTCTTATTGGCCTATCTTTGCCTCTCAGTCCTTCTCATTCCTTAACCCTTTGGAACCCTATTGAGGTGGCTGCTTTGCCATGAGCAAGCACTGGGGTGCTTAGGGAAAGTGAGCCTTGATTCGTGAGGAAACACTTTCCTCTCTTGCTGCTTCTACTAAAATATATGTCTCCTTGCTTAAGTGGTGGTAGTGACTTCTCTTTCTTCAAGTAAAATCCAGATTCCTTGCCAGGACACAAGCTGTGTGGTCCTGTGCTGCTTCATTTTTACTGTCCCTCTGTATCCAGTGCCTTTGATGCTTCTGGAACAATGACCTTTTGTTTCTCAAATGAATCTTTGTACTAATGGCTTTCCCAAATTCAGTTTCTTCTGCCTAAAATGCCTCTTCTTCTTTAGGTGCAGCAGGCTACTTGTCCTTCAGCCTTGGCTGCGTCAGCAAGTGTGTGCTGAAGCATACTCAATATGGCTGTTACAGCTCTGACCTTAGTCATGAGTGGCAAGACTAGTTCTGGTTGCATATCTGACAGGCCCACCTGAATACCATAGAGCTACTTTATTTTATTTGTATTTCGTACCTACCATATTATCAGTTAGAATCTTAAACTTTACTCATAACCTTCCCATTAGTTTTTGTCTTACATGTTTCCTAATTCAGGCTTTTCTCACAGGCCTCTTCATTTGCTCTCACCACCGTAGTCCCTCCCATCGTCAGCCTAAAATTGTCAGTCTGTAAAACAGGTGGTGGTTACGAGCACGCACTGCACCATGCTACCTCTCCATGTGTCTGGCTCATATGCTGACCACTGTGGGCTTCTGCACTCTCAGCCGATGGACCAATCCCTAAGTGCACGCCTTCGCCTGTGTAGTAAGCCTCCCTTCTGTGCGCGTTTATTACGTGTGGTTTTGACCAAGTACAGCCAAAAGTAATGAGTTAAAAATCACAAGGAATTTCAGAACCAAAAATTTTAAATTCCCATGTGCATTACACAGCTCGGTGAATGCGGGGGTGCTGTCAGTCAGTCCTGCAGTTATCAGTTGTGTGTAGATCATTGTGTGATCTGTTGAGTGTTTTCGGCCCTTGGTTTTATGAAAATATGCCTCCCAAAGGAAGGTAAAAGAGAGTGTGCTTAATTTAAGTGACCACGTGAAAATTTTAGATCTGTTAAATGGTGGCATGTCTTTAGAGGAGTTGGGCAGCGTTTGGGAAAAATGAGTCAGGCGTCTGCAGGGGGCAGTTTTACTGAGCTCTTCTGTCCTGAGCACATGGTTTTCCCTCAGTAGTGGTCTCTGGGCCATAGGACTCCCGTGCTGTACCCTGGGCCTAGAATGCTATCTCCATACTTTCTTTTCAGACTTGTTATCTTTAAGACCCCAATCCAGACACCTCCTCTGTGGAGCCTTCTGTAGTCCCAGGCAGAAGTGCGACGTCTTCAGCAGCCCTATGGTACCGTCTCATTCTGTGATAATGGAAGGTCACCGGGCCGACCTGTAAACGGGGGACCACGTCTCATCCTCCTGCCTGATATGGCTGGGCTCGCAATAAGTGTTTATGTGAATTAATATACTTAAATGCTTAAATTTATAATATTCTTTTAAGTATAATCATGCAGGACAAATACTATATGTAATTGGTGATATGTTCTATATTTGGAACATAACAATTTTGAAATATGTTTTTCTCTGTTTTTCCCCTCTTTCACAGATAAGCCTGAAAATTGGGATGTATGGTATGAAAGCAAATTTGATGACTGTGATAAGGAGGCTTGCTTATCATTTTCAAAAGAAATTCTTTGTGCTCGTGTCACTGTGGACCACAATTATTATGCTGTTTGTCAAAACCTCTTATCCAGACATGCCACTTGGCGTGGCACTTCTGGAGGACTACTTCATGATCCACCAAGTGAAATTGCCAAAGATGGCCGCCTGGAGGCCTTGCTGAATGAGTGTGCCAACCCAAAGAAGCGCTATGGGAGATTCCAGGCAGCAAAAGAACTGCGTGAATACCTGGCACAATTAAGTAACAATGTGAGGTAGTCTATGGTGAACTTTTTTTTTCCCCTCCATTTAAGTAGCACTGGCAAAACTAAACCACCAAAAACTACGTGGAAAAACACAATTTGGAAGAATTACCTTCAGAGGAGAATAACTTGCACTGACAGATCTTATGTTAGCATCCATCAAATAAAACATTACCGTGCTTCGGAACTCACAGGATGCTTGTGCAGATCAGTGCGCTCTTACACAGTGGAGACTTGAGGTATCATTGACTGCTTCCCTCCCCCATGCCTGAGTGGCTTCATGAACATTGCTAAGCTATTGGAAAGGAGTCTGATAGTTGCACTGGCTTGTGTATCAAAGGGTACTTGGTACTTAGTTTGCATTGCTATCATGATTTTGTGAACCTCTTGCATTTACTTTGAATGTCAAATTAGATCGGCCTGTTTTATAGGCCACTTTTTCCTTCTGATGTATAGGGGTTTTTTCCTGTTTTTTGTTTTGTTTTGTTTTTTAATTAAATTTTAAACATTCAGGTTACTGTAGGTGTTTGTTTAAATTTTAACTAGTTTTCGTTCAGTGCTATGCGGTACATATTTACTGTTAGGGCAGGATTCCCAGGTTTACTGTGTTTTTTTCAGAAAACTGAATATTTTATTATGTAAATAATTTTTCCTTGTCTTCTATGGTTTCATCCTTGCATGGTATCATTTCAGGTTATTTAAGGGTTATATCCCTCTACTCCAGTAATTGTAAGTACACTGAACATGAAGGTTAGCATATGCTACAAAATGTCATTTCATCCTTTACTAAAAGGCTTTAACAAGAGAATACTCGCAATCTACATTTTAATGGTAATTTTGGTTGAGAAAAAAAATGTAACCCAGTATTTTAAAAATGCTAACTAGTCCAAGATAGTAATACATATGCCAAAGAAATACTAGATCTAGTCCTATGTTTAGAATTTAAAATAGAATTTGGTCACCTTCTTACACGTCTTACCTTACTTCCAATATTTTACCTCTGTCATTATTAAATTCACACTTCCCTGGTTATTCTTTAATATTGACAGTTAAGCTACTGCTTTCAAAAATATGTAACTTAAAGATATTCTACCCTTTTATTCACTGGTAGTTTTGAATAATTAATGTGTTAGTCATTGTTGGAGTTTAATTGGGCATCAGAACTTTTCATTTATTATTAATAATAATTTTTAATATTTTAAAGCAGTTAAATAGTCTTCCTATCAGGGTTGTCATCAGCAAATTGATAAACATCAGAATATCAGACATAAGTAGGTGGAAAAACATTGACAAATGTGTGAAATTTGCAGGCCATTTCAAAAATGTTATAATATGTAAATTGACTAACATAGGTAATACCTTTTTATTTGAAGTATTACTTTTGTTTACAACAAAGTTCAGAGTAGTTTGCAGTAGTTAGTTCTAGTGTGACCATATCTAAATCAAATAAAACGTGATTAAAATATGCACAACCAAAGCCAAGTTTTTTTCTTTTTTGCTCATTCAGCAACTATTTATTGAGTATCAACTCTGTGCCAGGCATGTTAGTAGCTGCTACACACAGTCTGAACAATATATGGTTAAGTAACTTTATCAAACACTTTAATGTAGGGATTTCTTAAGTTGAAATACCATTAATTAGGATGATTCTTTCATGTTATTTGACTATTGAAATGGAAATTGTACTTGTGCCATCTACAGTTGGTTTGCTACAAAAATAGGAGGATGAAATTTGTCAAGTTAATGTCAGTTTAAAAACTGGCAGATAAAGGATCTCCATTATAAAGTAGATTGCACCATGTTAATTTTTATACATCGGTATATTGTGTAGCTCTCAGTGAAATATTTAAGTGCTGAAGCTCTTGTTAAGCTAACTTTTTACAACTTGGAAGGTTTTTGAGGGGGTGGGAAGAACCCACTGGTTGAACGTTTTCCTCTTACTCAAAGCTATAATTCACCACCTTTTATATTTGATAAGTAGTCATAACCTTAGGATGCCAGTCACAGAGGTGTCTGAGGTTCAGCAAACCTTGATCTTACGTTTTGGAAGATTGATTGTGATGGCGATTGAGGAATACGAAGGGCAAAAACACTTCCGGCAGTGATTGTTCTCCAGGTAGTTTTTTATGACCGCCATTTTCCCCCATGAGATTATGTGGAATTTCTTTTATCTTTGGAAAAGATTGAGGTGACACTAGTAAAAGAATTAGGAATTTAAAATTACAGGGAAAAATATGTATGTGAAAAGCAATAAATATTTTGTTCACTTTGCTATCAAGATGTTCACTATCAGATATTTATTATACAGCAGCAATTTATATTTTTAATCATTGTCCATTAATAGACGCAGTAAAATATTTTTGAATCAGACATTTGGGGTTTGTATGTGCATTAAAATTGTCTTTTGTACTGTAAGTTACTGTTTAATTTGAATATTTTATCAGAACTGTCTCCCTGTGCCTTTATAATATAAAGTTGTTTCTACAACTTTTAATGATCTTAATAAAGAATACTTTAAGAACCATACTGTTTAGACTGTCTCTTACCTTCAAATATTCAAAATTTTCTTGAGTGAAAAGTGGCTATTTTTTTCCCCTCATGAATGCATTTTTGTTTGTATTCTGGGAAACTGGATGGATGTGAACTGAGCTTAGGTGTGTTTTGTTTTTTGTGTAATAGTGACTTTTTAAACTTTTACTACTAAAATAGTGGAAAAGGGAATTTTGAAATGCGTGCGAGAGATTATAGTGAGTAATGGATAACTCTCATTACACTAACTTCAGAAGTTAGTAACATGACCAAATTTGTTTCATCCCTAGTCCAACCTACTTGCTCAAGCTTATTTTGAAGCATATTTCAGTACACATTAAGCATTTTCTGCTCTAACAAAACCACAATACTATTCACATTAAAAAAATTAAGTAATACTTCAGTATCACCAAAGCAGGAAAACTCTGTGCCACTTTTACTTGTAAAAACTCCAGATCCAGGGTTTAGGATTGTGGCCCAATTGGAAGAACACCTGCCTAGCAAGTGCAAGGCCCTGAGTTCAAACTCTAGTACTATCAGATAAATCCTCCAGATCCAACTTCAGGAACTTCTGGCTGTATGGAATGGAGCAATTTCATGTAAAATAATAACTGAAATGGATTACGTTAAAGATGTAAATCTGTGCATTCTAAGTAATACCAAACACAGCAACCGAAAACCGCACATTAACTGTCACCTTTGATAGGATATTGAAGAATTATTTGCAAATTGGCAAGTTGAATAAAAAACATATCCTGCCTTACCTCATGATAATCAAGTGAGAAGGAGAAATTTTTGTAGAAAACAGAATTATTCTAAATACTAACTCCAGAGAAGAGTTAGAATAGCACCATTTTGCAATTCACGATGCATTGACTAAGCAGTGGTCACCAGGGACCGCTCAAGTAACTGAGGAGTGAATGGATGAATCAATATGGCAACACCTACAGCTGCAGATACCATGATGGTTTTTCTAATAAGACTCCATGGAAAGTATCCACCACCACCTATGAAATGTCTTGCCAGAAACACAAAACCAGAAACCTGGAATCTGGCCAAGCCTCTAGATCTCTCCATTACTGGGAAATACTCCACACCAAGGAGCATAGGATACCATTGGGGTTTAGTCAATAGCATTCAGATCACGGGCAACTCCACCTTTCTCATGACCTAGTTTTCTTTAACAAATAGCAGGGGACAGGAGGAACTTTTTCATCAAAAGAGACTCAGGATAACATAAAGGAAACCCAAGTGTCACCTTTGTCTCCTAATTTGAGGAAATCAACTTTTAAAAAGTTGGAAATTTAAAAAAGCCAAGCAAGTTATGGATGCCTCTGATAACCCCATGTGCTTCTATTTTGGACTTGATTAATGTAGAAAAGCCATAAAATATGTGTTCCATACAAAGTAATCTATAGTTTACTGATGTGTAAATTTTGAACAAGAGTGTTTTCTTTCAAAGATTATTTACCCGTAGTCACACAAACAGTGGTAATGCTAGACTCATTGTTTTTTAAATAGTGGTGGGAGTTGGGCTCAGTTTTCTTTCTTTTAAACTGACCTTTGATTGATTTTCTGATTGGCTCAAACACTTTTTTCTAGTTTACCATATTCTGTAACTCTCAATGACCAGAAGTATGTAGTTGAATGCAAGATCATGTAATTATCAAAGAAAAATCATGTGTTTCCTAAATTATCATAAATTAGGGGAGGGAAAGATTTGTGAGGACAAAGAGGGAGAAGCCTCCCAATAGAAAAGGTAAAAAAGACAAAAGGGTGAAGAAGAGTGGGAGAAGTGGGAGAATTAAAGAACTTCCTAACAAAAGGGTAAGATTATTCCCTTTGACTCAAAGCTTGAGACTGCTTACATATCTATGAAGATTACTTCTCAACATGAGATTACTAATATTCTCACTCCAGGGTTTTACCTCACATTTTTTTTTTCCTTTCACCTTTATCTACAAATATTGTTGAAACTATAAGTCATGAGTATAGACTTGTAAGAAAATCTATGAGAGGACACACTGTTAAAATTACACTCTCAACAGTAAGGCTTGGAATTGTGGTCTTAATTTTAGCATTTCTAGGTATGATTTCAGACACTAACTTGAAGTATTGAAAGAGGTCACCCCTAGACTGCTAGAGAAAGGTCTGACAAGCAGAATCAAGGACATGGATTATTGGTTTTAGTTTCTGGTAATGTGTCTTGATCCTTTCTTTTTTTTTTAGCTACCCTAATAAATTACATTCAGTATCCTATGGACGTCTCATAGATTATCTTTCATGTTTAAAGACTTAGTAATACTGGGTGGGTGGGAAGGGAATGGTTAAAAAATATATGTACCCTCAGTTTATTTTCTGAGACTTGCCTTAAAAGGAGTGTTTCCAGTGGTCTCACTAACAATTTTAAAGACAATCTTTTGGAGTTTTATTTTAAACAATGCCCATAGTTTTCTATTAATATCATAGGTTGGGTTTCTTTGATTTTCCCACAATTACTAGAACACCATATGTTCTTGTGGTCCTTTTATGACTTTCAGATGAATTATTTTCAAAATTTTGTGAAGTAGAGTAAGATAAGGATCAGAAATTGGTGGGCAGATTTTGGTCTTACAGAAGTAGACACTGGGGTTCTCAGTGAGATGTAAGAAGTTTTGAAGATCATTCTTATCTTTCTGTGGCACTAGTATTTTCCACTAATAAGTTATCGTTATTGAAGCTAAAAATCTCAAACACTTGATACCCATTTGTTCCCAAGGGAAATGTTTCTGTGATGCCGTTGAAAAGCAATTTTTCAAAAGATATCTTTGAATTGTTTAAAATGAATACTGAGATGTTTCTGAGAGGTAGCGTTTGAATCTCTCCTTTGAATCCTGTCAGTTGTGACTGTAGACAGATTGTTAAGCATTTATGAGACAGTGTCCAAACTTAAAAAACACAGACTCTTATTGTGAGATCACTGGACCAATGAGGTAATGTACGGAAAAGCACTCTGAAAGCTTGTGAAGTGCTATACGTATGTTGCAATAACAAATATTGATGTTTTGCAGGAGAGAAAGAAGGAACTTCATTCAGGATTAAATAACTGGCTTCTTGCTCATTGGCAGCACCCAGCCACCAGTGACTTTTATTTACTTCTTTATAACTCAAGACTATAAACTAGGTTTAGCTGGTATTTTTAGAAAATCTCCTGTGGCTCGAAGGAAATTGCTAAAGGATTTTAAGTGCGGTTCCTTCAACTTCATAGGATAGTTATAATCAACAGGGAAAAATACCTTGGGAGAAGAGTACTGTTCTAAGACTGGTTAGAATTGCTAAATTCTCAGTTTTAAAGCTAACTTTTTCATCTTTTGTTGAAATGTCAAAAGTAAGGAAAAATCTCGTTACCATGTCTTGTGTGACTGTCTTCAGCCCATGGTTTCATTTGGGATTATCTTTAATATGATTAACCTAATTATGTTAGTTAATATTACAAATATATATATATATTTATATATATATATAATACATACAAGAATATATCAGCCAGGTGTGGTGGCACATGCTTATGAGCCCAGCA